TTGGGCTTCATTTGTTCTTCTTTTTCTAGTTTCCTTTTTTTTTTAAGTGAGGTATCATTTATATACAATCTTATATTGGTTTCAAATATACAACACAGTGGTTCAACAGTTACCCATATTATTAAATCCTCAGCCCCTCTAGTGTGGTTACTATTTATCAACAGAGAAAGATGTTACAGAATCACTGACTATATTTTCCATGCTGTACTACCGTCCTGTGACCTACTTATATTATGATTGCAAATTATTGTGTCCCTTCATCCCCCTCACCGTCCCTCAACCCACCCCAACCCTTCCCCCTTGGTAACTACTACTCACTTCTCCATGTCTGTGAGCCTGCTGCTGTTTTGTTCCTCCCATTTTGCTTTGTTTTTATATTCCACAAATAAGTGAAATCATATGGTATTTGTCTTTCTCTGCCTGACTTATTTCACTGAGCATAATACCCTCTAGATTCATCCATGTTGTTCTCTAGCCCTCATTTACATTTTCATCTTTCCTTTTATAATTGTGGCTTCTGAATAATTCTATCATCTTTTGAGTTCACTTTGGCAAACTGGGTTTACATTTTTTGATAACTAACCCCAGGTCTCCTCCTACAAAGAATAAATGAAACCTTTTTGTAAGTAAGCCCAGTAATTCCCAAACCTAATCTGAGTAATGTTTTGTTAACGGTGTGTGATCATTTCAAGGCCATGAGCTAGACCAAGGTGTCCTTTTCAGTATAACTCAATAACTGGTCTTTTCCGAATACTTGGTTTAAAAAAGGAAAAAAGAAACAAAAAACACGAAAGTGAAGACAGTTTTTGTTTTTTCCTTCTTTTTGAGACAACTTTTCTTTCCATCATTTTTCCTTACCTGTTTACTATTACTTATTTTAACAAACCAGCGTATAAGAGCAAATATATTAATCTAGAAATGTGTTTTCGTAGAAATATTCTAAGAATTACTATTTTGAAAATTAGAAGCCTGAAAACATAACAAAACAATCATAAGCCAGTATCATTTTCCCTGGTCCCACCCCTTTCAAACTGCATGATATGAACTTAGACAAAAAAAAAAGTTACTAAATATCTCTGAGCACCAGTTTGCTCTAAAAGAGAAATAATAACAAATTCTCAAGTTAAAGTATTAGAGATAATACTCAGCAATAGTACCTGGGCATACAGAAGGCACTTAGAATTTGTTGGATGAATGAATAAATATAAAGTACCTAACTTAGTACTTGACATTCAGAAGGCACTCAGTATACAATTACCTTTAATATAGCAACACTTCACAATGTTTTGAAAAGAGTACTCCACCTCCCAGGTCCCTACCTTAGCAACACATTTAACACTAAATCCAGTGATACTGCCGTAGTACTTAATGCATTTATCTCTACTTTTTGCTAGCACTGAACTATGGCTCTGTTTTGTTAATTACCCCTGTGTATGTTTGGGTTACCCCCTCAACTAGATTATGAACACATTGAAGCCAAGGAGTGCTGCTTTCTCTGTAGCCCCAACACATTCATTCATTTGACCCTGTCCTAAGTGTTGATTATATGAAGCACCCCCCAACAGAAACTTACACAAAATAGATGCTCAATAACATGAAACTCTGACTTACAGAAAGAATACTAATACAGAAGGCCTTTTACTATTACATATAATACACATGTAATTCTTCTAATCACTAGCCAAAGTCATTAATCCTAAATCCATGTCAGAAGAAGAAACTGGGGATCCTCAGAAGTTCCCTCATGCAAGACCACCCAGCTACCACAGTTCCTCTCAAAATTCCTTGTTTTTTCCGCCAAATTACACTGACTCCTAAATGAGGATGTCTTTCCTAATTCAACTTTACAAATCAAACTCCATTATATTTCAAGAGTACCCTTTTCTGATTTTTTGCTTTCTTCTACTTGCTGTAAGCTGCTGCTGCCAATAAATACAAACTAGTTCATAATCCATCACTATTGGCTCAGATCCTGCATGTCGGTAAAATAATTTAACTTAGTAGAAAATAAAGAGGCAGCCTAAGAATATTCCACTGTATAAGAAGCCATCTACAAAATATAAATGCCCTTAATTTCAAGACATCATATGTAAATACACATATATATGAACATACAAATTAATTCTCTTTAAATATGGTATCTCCCAAATAAACGGTTCCTTTTAAATACAGCATCCCCAAAGTTCTTGCAAGGAATGAGTACCTCAATAGAAGTAAACAGGTATAGTGGTAAAACAAACCTTCATCAAAAAGCCAATTTTGTGAATACATTGGTCAAAGGAGAAAAAAATCAGCCCAAATCCATAGCCCTAGCTAGATGTGCTATTCAGGCATTCCTCAACACAGCTTCTTACTCATTTCTGAAGACTAAGCATTAAAAAAGCAAAGTAATGTATTGTACTATGTGTATACATTTATATATGCCATTGTCTTGCATCAGTTAACCCAGGAATCCATGTTTCCCATGAGTGCTAGAGCCCTTACTCTTTTATACTGGCACAAAGTGCAGCTATAACACTCTCATTAGCAGAGCTCAGAGTTGTGTCTACCCCTGGGGTAAAGGTCTAAAGAACTCCTCAAGGGCAAAGACCAAGTCTTACAGTTCAGCACTGTTAGAACACAATAAAAATTGGTTAACTAGTAGAAACACTGGTAGGGGCATCATTCAGGTTATCCATCCTTGGAATCCCAAGAATACCTTTGTCCCACATCACATACAGACACTTCTCTTGTAAATTTCCCATCCTAATTGTATCTATTATGGATAGGTTTGGTTGAACTATGTATTTCCTGGAAATGAACTACGGAACAAGCCAGTGGAAATGATTCAAGAACCAACCCTCGATTACTCAGGGACTAATTAAACAGGACATATATTTCTTCTTTCCTCCACTATTGGATTTTGTATTCTTAGAACACTGATTGGATAATCTACAAGAGAAGGGAAATGAACTGAAACTTGTTAGGGTTTGTCAAGTTCCATATCACCAAATTGAAAATAATGACAGACAGTACTTGTGATTTTTTTTCTATCTAGATAATAGAGAGTTGGTTATAATTAGAATAAAGTAGCAGGAGGGTTTAGAAAACATAGGGAGAGGGGAAAAAGAAAAAAAGCCCCTCCATGGACCAGTCATTTGCAGGACCCACTTTCTGGCCCCTGTAGCTGAAATCCTTACTACCCCAGTTACCTATTTTCTCATCCTCATTTCCCAGCAGACTCATGCAACTAAAATATTAATTACAGCACATGAATTCCCTTCACACCAACCCTTCTGCTATCATTGACCTACGATTTCCACTATTAGTCATCACTTTAAATTTGAAGTATTTATTTCATTGACTCCTAACTATTAAACGACTAGTTTGGGATAAATAAATTTCACTGTATTCAGCCCAATGTCCCTTGTCTCAAGGAACCAATACTAGAAAGGATAAACTACTTTTTCCAAAAGGAAAAAAATATCCCCTGGAAATATTGTGACAAGTCCATGTAATATATACACCAGAAACCAATCTAATAATTTTAGCTAGGAATTAAATCACTCTGTTCTGCCTTTGACAACCTATCTCTTGCCCTTCATAAAACCTTGCTATGGTAAAATGGTAATATGACTACCAACACTAACTCTTCATGGCTCTCAAAACCTTATTTTATTGAGCCCTTCAACAAAAGAAGCAAGATAGACACTGTTACTCCCATTTTCCAGATGGAGAAATGTAGGCTGAAAGAGGTAAAGTGACTTATACAAGGTGATTTTTAGCTGCTAAATTGTCCTCTGGATCCCATTCTAGCACTCCATCCATAGCCACAATGACTCCCCACATGAAGAAAAATAACCACTCTCTTCTACTCAGTATAAAACAGGAAATTCACCATCCTAGGAAACACATTATACTCTGCTTGAACTTTACTCTGCATAATCCTAGGTAGTTGTTTTTAGCCATTGTCTCTGCCGCATTATCTACATGGACCCCATCTATTTATTTTGCTCATTATATTATTCAAGACCATTCACGAACAGAAAATAACAATGAAGTCCTGTTAACAATCACTTTTATATTGGCACTTATTCAGCTTTGACATTTAGACCACGCCTACCCGGTTATAAAATGGCCCTATGAGGATTATTACTCCTGCTCATAAAAGGTAAGGCTAATTTATTTCTCTTCTGTTTTTTACAAACAAGAATTAGCAACTCCTTTAATACTCAAGACAGAGAAGGAAAATGAAAAGCAGCAGAAAGGAGAAGAAAAGATCAAAGAGTGGGGAGGGAAGGAAAATAGTAGCACTGGAGTAGTGCAAATGTTCTTTGATGCTCTACCCATAGAGGGTTGCTGGCTTTGCCTGACAATGACCTTTGTTCTGAAAGTAGACCCTGGAATACTTGGACAAACCAGCACCCTCCAAAATTACTGAAGGGATCTCCCTGGACAACAGCTGTATTCCCTGTATAGATATGTTCAAAAGTTGACAAGTCTATGCTAACACACTAGAAACTCACTATACCCTTTGACATGCTATTTGACACAAGTTAGCCCATGTTGGATTTAAGCCACGGAAGTTAAGCTACTTAAGTACCCCAAAGCTCTCATTGTAAGTTTCACCTACAAAATTTTACCATGTTTCAGAATCTTCCATATCCCTGTGTACTTATACAACGGTTACATTAATTGACAATTGCTTTGTCCTAGTTTTCCCACATTTTCAATTCTGAAGAATAAAACTATTTACTTTCAGAAGAAAACAGGTGCAATTCGAATGTGATCAGGAGTCTAGTAAAAGAATCAGTGCAAAGATTATCCAGGGCAATCTCATAACTTTTCCTGTTTTATTGGAGCCTCAATCATACTGAAACTAAGACTCTGAGGCATTAAAAACAGCCATCACAAAATGTTTTTCTGCCCATCTTGTCCCACACTCTCCTTCCTGATCCCCAAATGTATCATTTAACATTTACAGGTGTATCAAGCAATTTGTTTCAATAAGCAAATCTTACCTAGTGGCAGTGAAGAAATAATTGTCTGGTGTCTTTACAATTGCTGTCAACCCCAAGACTTCTTCTGAAGGTCTAGCATTGATTTAAAGAAAGGAAAAGCAAAATCAAAGCATTGTCAAAAAAAAAAAAAGCCCTCAAATCCACAACCAATAAGGGTAATTTTGAATCACTGACTCATTGCTTATTTTCACACAATAGCACTCAGTCTATTAAAATATATAAACTAGTTCTGGAGGAGGTGAAATGGAGCTTGTCCCTCATGTCATTCCCCTTTCCTAAATTCCCCCATTAAAGTCTATCCCACTGTATGATAAGCAGGTAAAAGCAGGTTCATTTGATTCAACTTTCTCTCATTGCTTCTACCTTTAAAATTAAAGTTACTTTACAAAACACACACTAGCAAAAGAACAGATACTATGTAAGCAGTTTTTGTCCATATATGTGTTTAAATCACACATTATACAAAGTATTCAGAAATAATGTCTTACCCAGTGAAACAAAATTACACTTAGAACTAAAAGCAACTACTCTATTTATTTTATGACTATATATAACTGCAGGGTTAAGAAACTAAATACTAGCCTTAAATTATACTTGTTAGAGAATAATCAGCCATTTTAAGAGCAAATTTCAACCAAAGGTCTTTTTCATTTTTTTTCTAAGTTCTAAACACGTTGTACTTTGTATTTTTATTAACATTCAACCGAAATTAACCGCTGTGACTCTTGATTTAAAGTTGGTTAAAGGTACAGACGACGATAAATATAAAAACAATTACGTCTAAAGCAGGGAGTGACCAATCCCAGAATAAAAGCGACGTGTTTTTCCTATATGAGGTACAAGGGATGGAAATCATACGGTCTGGGTCCCCGGAACTTATTTGCTCTCTGATTTTTCTGATCAGCATCCTTTCACACAACGTCTGGCTGCCCGCTCAGGTCGCCTAATCACTTCCACGTCTGAACGGACTACGTAGCTACAAGCAAAGGCCAAACTTTGCTCTCGGCCTCTAGAACTTAAAGATGCGTTTAACCACTAGAGGTCTCCCCTTGGCCAGTTTTGCACGTTCGCTATTTTGCTGCACTTGAAACTTTCCGGAGAAATGCTCTCTACTCGAGTCAGTGTTTTTCTAAAAAAAACTTGCGCAAAAATCCACGCGACCAAGCTAGCCGGTACGGAGACTCTCCGGGCTCCCAAAACCAATATAGATATCACAACAACGCTCTAGGAACATCAAAATCAAAATTCGACATACTCGTCCCAGCCAACCACCCCCCCACACCGCCCAAAATCTTATTTCTCATCAGTTTCCCTTAACTTAAACGTAGAACAATTAAAAATCTTTTTCTGTTTCTGTTCACTTCGAATATTTCTAATACAGTTTTCAGGCTGTGCTACCAAAGTGGCAAAGGAGCGGGCCAAGGGATGCAGGGAGGGGGAAGGGCCTTGCTCACAGCGCCCGAGGAAGTTGCATAAGGAAAGAGACTCCGTTTTTTGGGTCCCCTCAAAAAATCGGCGGGGAGGAGGAGGAAAAGGAAGCGGGGTGGGGGGCGGGGTGGGGAGAAGGGAAACCGAAGTAACGTTTACCTTCTCCCGTGGAAGGGTGGTGTACGGGCCACGGTCTTCGCGCCCCTGGCGGGCGGCTGGTTACCCCCACCTCTTACCGAGCGCAGACGGACAAACAGATACCCCCACCCCTCCGCGGGGACGGCTGGGAAGAAACCACCCGCTTTTAAACTTTCTCTCACGGTCGCGCTGTGGGCCGTGCTTTGCCCAGAAAGGGTTGGGGTGGGGGTGGGGGATCAAAGGGCCTTTTTCTTTAGAGGTAATTAAAGTTTTACCACCAGCACAAAAGTTGCACCTTCCCCCACTCTCGTACCCCTTTGCCCCCTCCCAACCGCAGGCTCACAAGTTTTCCTCCTTCACCCACCACCCAACCCAGCTCGCGGGGCGCACGGCGGATGCCTCGGCTACTGCGCTTCCCGATCCCCACCCCCGCCGGCCTCTACTTCCCCTCGCCGGGCCGCCACGGCGCGAGGACGGCCCGCCGGGCCCAGGACGCGAGTGTGCAAAACCCATTATTCCGGAATGGCACACGCACGCGGCGCGAGGCGACCGGCGGCCCCGCCTCGGACCCCTCTTTGCCTCCCCAGTATAAGGACGGTGTAAACAAGTTGCAGGAAAAGCAGCCCCGCGCCCGCCCCCCAACCCCGCCCGGCGCCCCAGCGCGGCGGCCGCCGCCGCCTGCCGCTAACGCCGCCGCCGCCTCGCGACACACGCCCGCGCCCGCACCCTGGCCGGCGCGGCGCGGCACGGCGCGGGGCTAACGCCGCGACGGCGCGGGCTCCCGGCCCGGCCCGTGTCCCGCGCCCTCCCCCGCGCGGACGGCCGCGGCGGGCCCGCTCTGCCTTGCTTCCCGAAGCACTTTCCTGCCTCGGGCAGAAATAAACCGGAGGGTTTATTTTTGTGCAACTTTCCCAAAATGGCGGAAATTGGAGCTGATCTATATGAAATTCTCACACAGTCGGTCAGGAAGGGGGAGGCGGCGAGGAAGAAAACGCAAACTCTCGGCCGCCGAGCCCCGCCGCGGGTCCGTGAGTGTGTGCGTGCGTGTGAGTGTGCGTGTGCGCGGTGGGAGTCGGGGAGGCCTTTCCGCCGCGCACACACACAGCACACGCCGGGGAGACGCGCCTGCACATTCAACCAGTCCATTCTCCGCAGCCCGAGCGGGGAGAAAGTGGCCCGGCCTCTTTTCCCACTGCCTCGGTCTCCCGTACTTGTACTTCTCGCGCTCGCTCGCTCGCTCTCCGGTGCGCGCCCGGCACAAAGGCCACACGGGCGGAGGGGGCCGCAGGGGCGGCGCGCGGGGCTCGCGCCTCCCGCCGCACCGATCCGCGGCCCCGGCCGCCCCCGCGCCTCCCGCCGGCGCCCCCCGCCTCGGCGGCCGCGCTCGCCGCCCGGGCTGCAGCTCCGCGGCGCCCACTCGGGCACGCACCCCGGCGGAGCCCGGCGCCGCCGCGCTCCCCCACCCCGCGCCCGGTGTCATGAAAGCGACCAAAGTGACAAGCCCGGGGGGCGCGGGGGAGGGGGGGCCCACACGCATCCCGCCGCCTGCGCGCCGGCGAGAGCCCGACGCGGCCGTCTCGCCCGGCTCCCTTCCGCACGGCCCCCCACACCCTTCCCCGTGTGCGCGCAAAGAAAAAATACAAGTCTCTCCTCCCCCCATTTTTTCCTTTCTCTTTTCTCTCTCTTTTGTTCCTCTTTCACACTCGCACTCACTACTTCAGAGTGAGATGCCCAGAGACTCCCTCTCCAGCCGTTTCCGAGTCACTTGCCCACTTTTTTCCCCGGGATTAAGTTTTCTCCTCTTTCCCAGAGGCGCAGAGAAGTGGGGGAGAAACCCCTTCTGTCCTTTCCCCTCCCCTGATCTGTTTCACAAGACGAGGGTGCGCTTCCTTCTCTCTGTAGGTCTCTTAACTTTCATCCTCACCCAGAAAAATTAATGAATGGCTTTTGCACGGACAAATGTTCTGATTAATTAGAGATTAGATCCGATCAACCGCTTCTTACCCCCAAATTTTCTCTTTTTTTTTTCTCCGTCTCACGAGTAGTCCTGACAAATGGTCCAGGGCTGCGGGCGCAGTGCGCATGTGCGCGTAGAGTCAGGGCTGGGGAGAGGGGAAACTGCGCTGGTGCCGGTGCCGCCGCCGCCGCGGCTGCCGGGGAGGCTCGCGCTGGCTTCCCTGTTACTGCTGCTGCGCCTTCGCCGCTGGAAAGCAGCAATAAAGCCGGTTGGCAAATGCAGCTGCCCGCAGATACTGTTTCAGGTGCATCTTTTCAATATCCTTGTCACAGGCTCAGAGCTGGTTCAGGAACAGTCAAACAAATAGGAGAGACGGCTAAGGTTATAGATTTCTTTGTCTATTTTTCACTTTACTTTTTTTTAAAGGCAATTCTCAGAGCAGCTAATCCACCACGTACTGTTAAATGTATGCATTCGGCCATTAAAAAGCGGGCCCTCGTCTTATACAAACATTACCCAAGGGCTAAATGCATGCTACAGGTCATGAAAAATAAGAAATAAAGTTTTAAGCATTTACGCAGTAGAACCTCCCCCACCTTTAGGACTGGAAGAATGCATAATAAAGTGTGCGTGTAAAACTTGCGCGTTCTTTCCGTTCCTTCAGTGTGGGTCTCTACGGACAGCTTAAAAATGTTAGGCCTCTATTGTGAAATACGTTGGGATTCGTACATCAACTTGGAAATCAGTGTTACCGTACGTGGGCAATAAGCAGGTCGAGGACTATCCTCTTAATGTATTCAGTCAAGATGGCTGAGCGGTCCTAAATAGCAAAACCTGCCTTTGTTAAGGCGTCAAAACTAGATCAAGAGAGAGTATTGTATTTCGGTATTGACAGGTTTCTACTTACTGACTTCAAGCCTCTTTTTGGGTAGCTCATCATTCTCCTTTTCTAGTAGATACAAGTACTTATAAAATAATTCAAGTAATTGAAGTTGCCATAAACATTTGAATGTCAATAACAGAGTTTGCTGTGAGAGAAAAAATTAGCCCGTTTGATTTCAGGAATGGCTGGAGCAAGTCTTGGGTGGGAAAAGCGAAGGACCCACCCCTCAGAGTGGACAATTTATTTTGCATCTAATAAAGGGTAAAGGGGGCCTTTTTCCAAAATTACTGCCCCAGACCTAGAATTGAAATATATCATAAGATAAAAATTCTGCATTAAAAATATTTCTCCTAAATGTAGGTAATACTACTCTTGATTGGATTTTTTTTACTTAAGGAATGTTCCTGAACCAGTTTCAGAAAATAAACTGTTGTTTCCTTAGGGCCATGAAATTACTCTAGAGAAGCAGACCACTCAACTACTTCTTCTGTTGGTATAGTGACCAAATTATCCAAACCAAAATCAGGACATATGGCTTGATACATACTCAGGAACTAAGGAACAAGCCTAGTGAAGCTGCAGAGAGACCTTATGAAATGTGCTTCATATGGTGGGCAGCCATTGCTTTAGGGTGTGAGGTAGGGAAGGCTGAGTTAGTGAGGGCTGTAGATAATCTCAGACTGCCAGTTAACTATTGATCTCACGCACCACATCCAGCCTTTTCCTGAACCTCCCCCAAACAGCCTAATTAAACTGATCAGAATTTCAACTTCTTTCCTTTACTCCCTAGCCCTTGAATAATAAGCAGTGAAATGGCCAAAGGTAAACTACAGGAGAAGGAAAGAAAGGCCATGAACTTTGTACAAAACTCAGACTTTACCTAAAAAAAAAAAAAAAACNAAAAAAAAAAAAAAAAAACACTAAAATAACTAGATTTCTCTTTCTAAAAAGCCTTTTTTAGATTCATTCTCTCTAGATAATTTATGGATAATAAATATATTTCACATAATTTTCAGAGATGTTGTTTCAACAGTCTGTAAACTTATATTAATGGCTACCTTGGACAAGGTGCTGGGAATAACAAGATAAAAACAAGGGCACAGGAATTTAGTCTGGATAGGGGGAGTCTAGTGAATTAGGCATTGCATTATGGAATGGTAAATGTTGCAGTGGGGTATGCAGAGCAAGAATAATTGAGGGGCACCTATGTCAATAACAGGCTTTCCAGAAAAAATCATAGTTAGGCTGATTCTTAAAGGACAACATTCATATGTGTTCCCCCCTTTCCTCTGGGAAGGTGATCTCATCAGAGAAAGCCTGAGTAAAGGTCCAAGGGTTTGGGGAGCAAGGCTTGCCTGGGACCTGTACACTGAGGTTTACTAACAAAAATAAGGATGAATTGAGGCTCTGTACAATACATTGTGTTTATCCTTCAGAGATTACCTCAAAGATTTCATCTCAGTTTTCCCCAAAATGTGGCTCAGGGAAGGAAATCATTTTGAAGGTACTCTTGTGTAAGAATAATGACTTTAAAGGCTGCTACCAAGTTTTTCTACAAAGAATATTTTGGTGCCACTACCTGAGGCACAGGCAGAATGAAGTATTAAAATCCAGATAACACTGTGGTATTCTTCATATAAAGTAGTACTAGTTACAGGCCTTTCTCCATCTGTACCATAACTGGTAATATTGCTGTTCCTTCACTCTGCCACCAGTTAGTGACTGCTTAATAATGCATATTGAGTCCCTTTTTTTGCAACTTCACTTAATCTCATCATTTTCCACCACTCTCCCCTTCCCATCCCACCCTGCTTTACCGTAGCACATCTACATATCGAATCCATCATTCAGACCATATCTGTAACTTCCTTGGTATCCCAAAACAAAGTATTAGCTCACTCCTTTATTTTTCTTTGTTTTTATTAAACCCAAATTTATTTCCCCCTAGATGACTTCAGGTTACCTCTTTTTTAAATATTCTGCAGCTAAAGTCATTTTACGTCGAAAATCTTTTTAACAGATCACTGCATTCACTCTTAAGACACTTTGAGGCTTCTCGTCACCTCCCAGATGGAGGTTTTCACAACCTCTCTCATTGTATTCCATCCTCTTACCTCCACATTGTGAGAACCTCTATTTAGAAACTTAAACTCCCTTTTCCTAACACTAAGCTTGTCCTGCATTGATAGGACACACTTCTCCTGTCTTGGAACAATTCAAGGACAACCTCCTCCCCGAGCCAGCCTTCACAATTGAAAGTGCACAGGAGAGAAGGCCAAGAGATTTGCATTTTCATCCAGTTCTGCCACCATCCCCTAGACCCATTAGGCTGGTCACCTCACATTTCAGGGCTTCAATACTCTCACTAGTGAAGCCAAGAAAACAGTTTGATTTCTGAGGTCTCTTTGAAAGCCTTGTCCCTTCCCATCCTGCCCACATAACAGAAACATTGTTCCATTTTAGTACAAATAATATGGAACCAAGAAAGGAATTTTAAGAGTGAAAAATCTATCCATCTGCTAGGTTATCAGAATGTTATCAGTTTGTAGCTCATTCAGTTGGTTTAAGCCTGGTACTAATGAGATAAAGGTCATGGGTTTCATTCCCTAATGGCTAGTTAGTTTTGATCTGTTTCATAGCCACAAACTGCTTTCCTAACCCCAGTCCTCACATTGTAACATGTGCTATTGGTCACAAGTCTTGAGGTAAAACTGAATCTTTGCATAGAAAATTTCTAAATGAACAATGCTTAAAATTATCCTTTTAATGTATTATCTTAC